ATAAAGTAGAGCAAACAGAAAATAAGACAGAACAACGACTAAGGATTGAGGTTACATAATCATTTATTATTTTCAACAAGGAATAGAGCAGAGCAAACAGAAATAAAATAGAACAACGGCAAGGGATTGGGGCCAATCCGACAATCAAACTATCCAACAATTATCCTCACACCCCCGAGCGAGGTTTCTCTCTCCCCCCTTACCTGGATAAGCAGGAGCTGGAACTTGAGAAGAAACTCCTCCTCTGGATTCCCTCTTTGAAATAACAGAATTAACAAGTTTTTAAGTGACAACAATTCGTGAATGAATAATATAATAAAGGAAAAATATGTGAAGAGATACTATCAAAGTCTTCAGTAAGTTATATTTACAAGAAAAACTACTTTCCTCCATAAATCCCTTATTCGTAGCATCTTGATACTTTCCTCCCTATCTTCTTTCTAAGTCTCCTCTTATAGCTTTTGCTATTAACATTTCTCTTAATTGATTTTTTATTGTGTTGTAGCATATATATGTTTTTTTTTTTTCTTATTATCTTGACCGAACTTTCTTGCTTTAATCAAAAGATCAGCAAACTGATTTTAACATGTCATGATGAATGCTCCTGTTTGCTGAAATGGTTATATATTGAAAGAATATAAAGGGGAAAAGAAAGACTAAAAGATAATTAACGAAATTAAAACATCTTGCAACAAAATAAAGGACTTTTATTTAACAACTTTCAGAAACAAGACGATGAACAAAGATAGCGGGGAGAGATAATATCCCCATATATATATATATGGGTGATAACAACATCAGCACAATATTGTATTATTGTATAGTACTCCATTATTCATTATTATCTATATATGGACGTTTAACGGTAACGTCCTAATTAACTTAAACACACAAACACACACCATGATAGACGATTGACAGAATACGTTGTTAATTGCAAATGAGGTTGGTGGTGTTGCGTCCACAAGCGTTGAATATAGCGATGAGGTTAATGTCAAGATTAATGGGAAGTCCAAGGATTCGGGACCTGAGTTGGTCGCAAATGCAAACCACTGCGTCTATGTCAGCAAGACCATCTAGGAGGGGGCAACAATCTGATGGGGACCCAATAATGTTGCCACCCAAAATATTTAAGCATAAACCTAACTCGGGACACTCCTCACCTTGTGCCGGAGGAGCAGCGGTTTGGGAGCTAACCATGGAAAAGAAAAAGAGGTTGAGAGAGAGAAGGATAATGGATGCAACACTCTTCGAACCCATTTCTTTAACTGATCGATACATGTTCAATTTCTTTACAATTCTTAATCAAACTGCTCTTGCTTCTGCTACAATATCAACTTTGCAAGAGAATTTATAGGCCAAGGATTTGTACTTTTTTCTTTTTGTTTGTTTTACTTTTTTGCTGAATGGGTTAATTTCTTAAATTAATGGAGGTTGAATCTTTAGGCATATATGTTTACGCAACTTGGTACCCCCAAAATAATGAAAACAAGACAAGTATTATTTCTTTAATTGACTGGACCATTCCTTAATTTTAATCCTCCGGATTAATCCGGTTATGCATCATGAGTTAGATTAATTTATGTTACTTTATTTCAATATTTTAGTTTGTTAAAATGAAATGGATGTGTGGCAAATAATATTTACTAATGCATTCTATCTAAAGTTTCAGTTTATAACTACTTGTTTATTAATTATTAGTTTTTTTAAAAAAAATTTAAAATACACCTATTTATTTTGGAGAGATAAAATGAAAAAAAAATTGTATAGACTAAAACCATAATTAGTAACATATATTTTTAGTTCTTATATTGAAATTTGTTTTTAGTTGTTCTAAAAATAAGAGATTTACGCAGAGGCATAAAAAAAGGATTTTATAAGCAGGTGCATATAATTTAATTTACACTTTAATTTATGGTGTAAAAAGAAAAGAAAAAAAAAACATCTTCAATTTGTAAACACGAAAGTCGTTTACTTCATTCGCCCTATTTTAAATTAATTAAAGGACAGAGGAGAGTTTCGTTTCACTAGGTTGGGCAATTGATAGCAGGGCAGGCTATACTGCTATAGTGAGGGGAGGGCCTGTGGGGGTTGAAGTACAATCCTAAAAAGAGAAAAACAAAGCAAAATAATGGATATTTTAATTTTCCTTTAAAAAGGAAAAAATGTATTGTTACGAAAAGCTTTTCATTAAAGTTAGTATAGTGTTTTTTTAGATTAAAACACTTGTTTCTTTTTTGTCAATTCTTTTATCAAAAACATTTCCAAAATAAATAGTATTAGAAAGAAAAATTATTTATTTTTAAAAAATTAATAAATAAATAATCTTTTAAACTAAGGATAATTATAATTACATTGATTTATCTTGAGGTAAAAAAAATTTCACTGATACTTCATTGATTACCAAAAATAAATTACACGTACCTTTCACAAACTTTTAAATGTTTTACGTTTAATTATTCATAAAAATTCTTACAAATATTCATACAAGATTTCTTAGAATTAAAAATATTTATATTTGATTATAATAGTATATTCCTATATGAGTATATAAATATTTTTTTATAAAAATATATTTTTTACTAAATAAACATATTAGATATATTTATTTACTCAAATTTTATTATAAATA